TAACTAAGCCATAGAAGAGATACGTGAGAACAATTTTAGTCTTCCAGTAACAAACTAAAAAGCTGGGCTCAATCTTAAAACATGGCCTGTCATTTTCTCCTGACATTAACCAAGTGCTACACCCAAAACACAGTAGCACATAAATAAAAGAGGACTAAAGAGTGAAGGATTGACTGTCCATAATTAATGTTTCAACTAATGACCCATCATCTGGCTCATCTCAGATACTTGCACTCATCATAGGCATATTGAAAATTTCAAGAAAAAGGATTTTTATAAAGAAACATCCTGACAGCTCAAATGGCTATAAAGCCTAAAAGTACAAGCAGAGAGAAATCTCCCAGGACATGGAAGTTTTTGTTTTCTCCACCTCTTTGCATATGTTAATGGCTTCCTTGTTATAAATTACAGAGGAGCAGAACGAGATTTTCCATCTATAAAGTTGGTGGCATGTCATCTTACAGGACTGTGTCTTCTGTAGCTACAATATAAACCAATACCTTTTAGTGCAATAATTTTATGAGAGTTGACAGCACACAGTCCCAATGAGACCACAGCAGTTTCCACTTAAGTACGTGCTTTGCATCATGTGTATTGGATTAAGTATACAATTTCTGTTATTGTTTAAAGAAATTACCTCTAATCCACCAAATGCAGGGCTGAAACTCATGACATACCAGACACCCAAATCCCAGGAAGTGCACACAGCTATGCTACACACACACAATGCTTCACTCCTGCTTTAATTGGTACACTTCTCAGACTGATGCACTGAGTGCTGGGCTATGGAGACTTCAGATCATGAGTCACCTAGTCCAGCATACATTACTTTAGAATATTACAAGGCAGTGATGAAAAAGCATCTTTCTCCTGTTCACGTGTCTTAAATACTGTATACCAAACAGACATCAAAGTGTTTCCTTTAGGTTATTATTTGTAGTTTATTTATCTCTGAACAGGTTTGGTGGGGTTTGAAATGCCTTGGCTGTATGTGAATTCAAGCATGGCAGCATATGACTATTGTTCACTAGGAACACTTTATGGCTGCAGCCTTAGCAAGTCAATGTGATTCTGGAATGAAAGGCTACTTAAGGCCACAGTAACAAATTAATATACCTTACCTTTACATATACACTCCTTTCCACTGTAATTCAGTAAAGATTTTAGGCTCCTGCTGTGAAACTCCCCGTGAAACATTCAGTCTTTTTGTTTGTATCATCTCTTACAAAGCACTGCACTGTAGCCACCCCATGAACTGCCTGGCAAGTTAGAAGTACTTCTGTCATTCAGCTTCTTAAATTGCTTACCTACTCAGAGTGAGTTCCTCCTGCATTACAGCAAATGGAAAATACAATTTTTGAAGAGAGAGTTGTATTCTGTAATAGTCTACTTAATCATTTAGCAAAGAGACATCATTTTCTTTAAATACATGCAAAAAACCACAGTGCTTCTACCCATACTCACTTTTAGAGATTTTAATGTGCCAGTTATGAGGGAACCCATCTGAACTGTAGCCATCCAAAAGTCTGCTCCTCAATCAGAGCTAGTCATCCAGGCTCCATCCTAAATCAATACAGAGATAGGCACCTTCAAAGACCAAGAGATTTAGATAGTGGGATGAGTATCTCGAGGTGAATGAATTACCTGCAGAACTGCCTCTCTCCCCTCCCCATCCCGATTTATCTGTAGAAGCAGCCTCAGTGAGTGATTGAAATGACACACCTAACTCCTACCTTAGTAAAGCTGGATCCCACCCTGAGTGTTTGACCTCTGACACCGTTGCTGGCTATAAATAGCTGTATCTGTTATTTAAAATAATACCACATGAAAAGAAAAAAGTGTTACATTAATTCAAAATTATTTTCCTGTGACACCTCCAAAGCGTGAAAATATTTTCCTATGCTCTGGAAAAGCCTCTTAACAAGTGAATGCAAAACTGGAGAACACTTGGATCTCAAAAGGTAGGAAAGCTCATTTTCCTCCTTTTGTCTATGCATAGAAAACAAGTAGGAGAGATTCAGACATGTTAGTTTTTAAATTTTTAAAAACATGTACATCTGAAAATCTTGCTAGAAGATATTTAGAAAACACAAGTAGCATTCAGAATTTCTGCAGGAGTGCTCTTGAAAATTATATTAGTCTGCCACCTTTATCTTTGGGACTCTCTGCTTGTCCTAAGAAAAATAATGACCAAATAAGAGGCCTGGCAATTTATTAACAGAAGTTAAAACCCCTTTTTTCAATAAACCTAGGTTAAATACACACCATGTTTTGATCATTTTTTTATATGTACCCATAAATGCCAATGTTTAGCAAAACACTAAATGACAGTTTATGCATTTCAATCAAATTTCAGTTTCTAGGTAAATACGACTTCTGCGCATCTGAAAAACTCACCATACCATAACCAACAAGCAGTAATTCTTCTTTTTTTTTAATGTATTATGAGTAAAAAAATGTGTGTTAAGCTACAGTGGTTTCAATTTGTAAAGTTAAATAGAATTGCTGAGGTTTTTTAAGAACCAAGAGGAGAATAAAAGATATTTGTATAGCATGTTTTAGTATTTACACCAACAAATAAGCACAAACCCTTTCCTTTAGAAAGACATTGACAAAACTAGAACACCTTTCACAAAAGAAGCAGATTTTGAAGCAAGTAATTCGGGTTTAGTACCTCTGGCTTTATCTGCTTCCATAACCAAATTCTCTTCTCTTATCTTCTTAGGCATTCCCCAAATCCCAACTGCTTTCATGCAACCTCAGTTATCCCAGAAAGGCAACTGAGTTGTAGATATCACTGGCCCTTTGGGCCAAGCACCATAATTTCTACAAAACTGGATCATTTGGAATGGAAATGCATGGGAAATGGGGAAAAAAATTCTACATTATTGTAAGTTATCATTTTCCTGCTCACAGTAAACAGATTTCTAGTTATAAGTTGGAATCAGAAAATTTTATAAAGGCTGTTTTGTCTCTTGACTGCTAAGAGAGTGGTTCCCAAAAAGATTTTTATGTGGGAGAAGTGTTAAATAACTTCCCATGCTGCAGGTAGAATTTTAAGTATGAACTTGGTAAATATTGGTTAATTCTTTTTTTCTTTCTGCATTTCTGTAGAAAAATTGACATGGGAAGAATTGAGACAAGTGATGTTTTCAAGGGAAGCAGAAATAGGAGTAGGAGCAGACTTGCATATAAAGTACATACTGTACCTTTTGAAGACATTTCCTCCTAGCCCTCAGTATCCAGTCTGTCTGGTTGCTGCACTGGCTGAACCTTCATCTGCCAAAAGCAACACAATGACAAACTTTTATACTACAGGTCATTATTCCAACAGAGGAATTGCGTGGGGGAGTGTCTACATCCCACTTTTCATTTTGTAGGTATTCCTGCTGTTACAGTAATAGTGGGAAAAGTAATAGTGGGATAGTATTTACAGTATTAAATTTTTTATTATTATTCATTGAATGCAGGGAAATGTCAGCTATCAAGCATACCTGGAAAAAAATTGTAGACTATTGTTTGAGAATTGCTGGCAATAGAAATTAACCTAGTCAGTGAGAAAGACTAATTTTTATAGAACAAGTGTGATAGAAATGTACAAGTCCCTTGGTGTTAGAATTTTAGAATTTCTAATTTTAAAATTAGAATTATTGTAAGTAGTAAGAGGACAAATTAACTTCTATTCACTCCTATTATTTTGTTGATTAAAGTTCAATATGAATTTGATGAAGATAAATCACTCCCTCCCTTTTTTAAAGATAGATTACTATAGCATTTTAGAGCCTGTTTTATTCAAGCCAGCCTAGTTGCAGAGTTAATACTCATCTGAGTACATCTTGGGAGTTCTGTATGGGATTTGAGTAACCTATTTCCAAAGCTCCGTGTGTGAGGTGGAATCAGGTCTACAGGAACCTGAGGATGATATTGGTGTGATTGCCAGCAAGTAGCACTCCAACTGGTACTTGCAAAATAACATTAAACTGGCAAAGAACTATTCTTGTGATGTGAATAGATTTTTCCTTGTAGGACTATTTTAGTAAAAGTGGCAGAGGGTTTGACCTGTCAAAAAGCTGACACCAGAGCCTGCAAATGCACTGAGAAGGATACACAGTGAAATCTTAAGCATGTATATATTAAGATAATTTACACTATTATCTGTTACAGAATCTTACATGAATAGGTTATGCTTACCATACAGGCTCATACATTAATGTGAGATTATTATGCTATTACCACTTACCTTCAAAGACTTACACAAACGTTATCTAAGCTCCTCAAAAACTTGCCAAGTTAACATTTTTTTTTCTCCACTCCTAGCTGAGATCTGTCACGGTGTTCTGCAAATAAAGTAACAAAGACTGGAAACCAGCCATTTTTCAGAAGCAGTTGGAGTGCTGGGTAGGTCCATGTATGCTGGAGATTAGGATTTAAGACTCACAGCAATATGAAATTTGTCTACATCGCATGTGTTGCAGTACTAACATATGGTGATGTTTTGACTTCTAGATGAGCTTGGCTTCTTCCAAGCTGTTAACTTTCATTTTGCTGTTGTAACTCTACAGAATGAGAGACTATAAAATGAAGGAACCTGAACCTTACTTTCAAACACGAGACCAGATCTCATGAGTCTGACATCAGGACAAAAATACCTTTCCCTTCCTGCTGCTGAGCGCAGTTTTGTACATCAAACAAGGAAGGGACGGGGGAAGGAAGGCATGACGCTATCCAAGGTGTGTTTCGGACCAGGACACGCTGTGGGGAAGCCACCTCAGCTCAGAGGCAGGGCAGACCCCCGACCCCGCGTTACCGCCCAGCTCCCCCCGCCCGCCCGGCGAGCTACAGCGGCGGAGCCGCCCCGCATTCCCCGCATTCCGGGGGCAGAGAGCGCCCGCGGCCGCTGCCCCTTCCTCCACCGCCCGGGCCCGGCAGCAATGGGCCGCGGGCAGCCCGCCCAGAGGAGGCGGCGCCCGCCGGGGCCCGGCCCGGGGGCAGGGCGCCGGCAGGAGGAGGAGGAGGAGGCCGGGCGGGGGAGAACCGGCGTGGCAAGGCTCACGCTCGGCGCGGCGCTGCGGGAGCGAGAGGGTCCCGGCGGGAACGGGAGGCGGGCGCGGGTGCCGGTCCCGCATTCCCGGCCCGGCCCCGCGGTCACGTGCGGCCGCGCAGCGCCTCGCCGCGCGGCCCCGCCCCGGCAAGGAGGCGGCGGCGGGGGTTAACCCGTGGCGGGGCGGCGCGGGCGGAGCGGAGCCGAGCGCAGCAGAGCAGGAAGCGCCCGGGGAGGGAGGCGGGAGAGGCGGCCGCGCTCCGAGGAGGAGGAAGGGGGTTGGGAGCCCGGCCGCCGTCGCCGCCTTCGCCTCTTCCTTCCGCCCGCTGCGCGGAGCGAGGCGCGCGGGAGGCACCTGTCACAGCCGCCAGGGCGAGCGCGGCGTCCTCCGCGGTGGGAGGCGGCGGCGGCGGCAGCAGGAGAGGCCCGGCACAGCTCAGCGGGCCCGGCGCGGAGAAGGCTGCGGAGATGATGCCGGTGAGTGAGAACGGGGAGAGTTCGCGTCGTCGCTCCCCGGCCTGGCGCCGCGCTGCCGGGCGCTGGGACGCCTCGCCGTTTCCTGCGGGGCTGCCGGCGGCGGATTGAGTGCGCGGCGCCGCCGTCATCCCCGGGCCAGCCGGGACGGAGAGCTGCGGGGCTGCGGAGACATCGGCGGGCTCCGTGCCGGGGGTGGGGCCGCGGGTCACCGGCGTCCCCGGCTGTGGGGGAGCACGACCTGCCCCCGCCCCTCCACCCGCGGGGGCTGCACCGGCCGTGACAGGTCGGGGGCCGCGTCCCCCCGGGCTGTGGCGGAGCGGCGCCTCACGCACCCCGGCGGGGAGCGCGGGGGTCGCCTCCGGGTCGCTGCCGGCCGCCGAGGCCCGCCGTGAGGCGTGGGGGGTGCGTTGTGTTTGGGTGAGTGGGTGTGCGGGCGGTGTGTCTGCTTGTTTCGGGGTTTTCCACCCAAATCTCGATCCCTCGCCGCCCGGGTGCGGGGAAGGGCTGAACCGTCCCGGGGCAGGCGGCTCCGGCCCTCCTGCCGGGGTCAAGCGAGCGCAGGCAGCGGCACCGTGTCAGCCTGGCTCCTTCCTCGGTTCCTGTCACCGCTTTTGTGAAGTCGTCGCTTATTTATCGAAGACAAACCCTTTCATTTTCCTGCAAACAACCTTGATTGTCTTCTGTGGCAGAATCCCTGTCCGTTTCCTGCCCCCCGCTTCCCTCCCTTGTCGCTGTGGGCTGATGCAGTGGTCAGAAGAGAGTTGTTCCTGATGACTGTTCGTTTTATGACAGGATCCTCTGGGACGGAGTAATAAACAATCACATTCCTTTTGTTGATTTCTTTCAAACTCTATTTGATCTCAAATGTGGCTTTATGAGATACTCCAATATAAGGGGCCATTTGCCATGTTTTCTCTAATTCTAGTAGAAATTAGCTTTTTATTTACCGTTCCTCTGCAGTGTTTGCAGCTGAAGCACTGCAGCAGAATGTTTCTGTGTGAGAACATTAAAGACATCTTTTACAAGATTTTATTACTCTAAATTTGTTTCATGACTGAGAGGAGAAAATAAATAGCTCAAACTGGGTGTAAAATTTCAGATTGAAGAGTGCAGGTAGTGTTTAAAAGCCAGGTATTATGACAAGCTTTTTAACATCATGTGCACTTCAACTTCCAGCTGCTGGGTGCCAAAATACTCTATTGATACGGATGAGAATTGCAGTGCACTGGGCGTGTTAGAAACCAGCAGCAAAGTTCATGGACTTAGACTTGTGCCATGAACTTATGGATGTTAGCGTGTAGAAACAAAAACAAGGTGACAGCTTCATCTTCCATCTCAGCTTGGGTTATGCTTTACATTCGTGAAATTCCTGTTGAAAAACCAGCATGCCAATGACATGCTAAGTCAGGACAAATGTATTTGCTTCCCATTACTAACCCCTGTGTGGGTTTCAGGGTAACGTCAGAACTTGGGTAGTGCAGTGATTGACTCCTTAGAAAGTTTCTTTTTACCTCTTTGAGTGTTTCTGCCAGTGTCTTGTGTTACCTTCTTGCTTGTTCAAATGTGGTGGTTGTTTATATTTGTTGGAAGGTGGTTGAAGATTCAGACTTTTTGCTATGTTTTTGAAATGCACTTCAAAGCATTTTTAACTGACGGGTGAATTTTAATAAAAACAAATTACCTTGCTACAGGAGTAGTAGTGTTGCAGATTAGAGCTTACTGAGTCCAAGTCCTAAAATAATAAATATTTCATTTTTCTAAAGCCATTTTAGATGCTGTTATGGACCGTCTATCAGTCAGGAATATGTATATTTAAATAAATATGTATATTTAAATGGACTCATGACAGTGCCTTCAGTCTTCCAGCTTTTCTTCCCAGCTAGACAACAAGGGTGAAAAAACTGAACTCCATTTACTGGACTCATCAATATATAATATCCAAATAATGTGAACATATGGCTGTAGAACTGGACCAAGTGTTTTAGGTTTTTACTAATTTTTTTGTATTTTGAGAATGGAAAAGTTAGTGATCTAACTTTTTACCTTAGAGAATTCCTTGACTTTATATTCATGGAAGCTTTTTTTTCCCCCCTAAACTTGTTGGATTTTTGTTTGTGGGTATTTTGGGCTTTGGGTGTTTTTTATGTAATTAGCAAAAGCATAAACTAGCAAGAGGAGAGATTTTAATACCTGCTAGACTTACCTACTTGTTACAACAGTTCATCACCATAGTTAAAACTAAGTGTTAAACTTTTGTAGTTTCTTAAGATTCACATTTATTAGACTTGTAGTAATTGATTGGGGCCACTTTTGCATTGGTAATTTTTTTTTTGCATTTGTACAAACATTTTTAAGAGTGAAGAGGTATCTGAAGTCCCTGGTTTTTCCTTTGGTGTTTGTTGTGATTTTTTTTTCTCCCCTCACATGGGGAACAGTGTTACTTCTCAGAGGCTTTTATCAATTACAGTTTCTTTTGTGAGTGGGATACTTCCCACTCTGTTCTTCAGCATCCTTTTCTTAGAAGGATTTTATTCATTATATTTTTTCATATTGCATATTCTGGTTCTAAAAAATACAGAATAACTAACTCTTCTTGGTCCTGAATGCAGTTGGGCTTGAAGAAGAATTAATGATTTAGACTACAGAGATAAGGACTGTGTGTATGATGAGCTCATGATGCTACACTGGATATCACTTCTGCTAACTGTTCCTATAAGTATGCCTTGATTTTTTTTTTAATTTATTTTTTTTCACTGAAAAGTAAAGGTTAGTCTTTCTTGCATTCTTGGAATAAAGTGTGCAAATATCTATGTGGTATTCCTTCAAAGAGGAAATCTTTTGGGTTAAAACAACCAGAGTTATCTTTGTTTGCAGCATTATTGTGGATAAAGCTCCTTTTCCAGCCACTAAATCTGCAGCATGATTGGAGGAACCTAGTTGTGTATATTTTTGTCTATTTGCCCCAGTAGAGAGACTTTTTTTGTGGTACTGTAGAGTTTGTGTTTGAGAGAGTATTGGAAAATTCTCCTTAAATAATGCAAATAATGTTTTTTTTCTTGGATGGTAGTTTCAGAATTACCTCTTTTGTCAAGTATTATCATTTTTCTTGGGCACAAGGGTGCGCACAAGAAAAAACTCACTTATGAGGAGCACAGTTTTCCCACTTATAAAGAAATACAATGCAATAAGGAACTGATATGTTGGAAAAGCGTGTAACACTTTCCTCTTTTTTTGACTTAATTTTGGATCTAATTCTTTCCCAGTATGTGAGGTAACACCACACTAAAGAACTGTGTGTAGTTTGTGTAATATCAATAACGTGGTAACAGAGGTGATGGTGGGTACTGTGTAAGAAATTGTGATGCATTGAATCTTTTAGGAGGAAAAGTTGGTATTTCATGTTCTCCTAGCAGAGCTTTTCTGGTTTTACCTTTTACATGTGAATATCAGTGAGGTTGCAGCCATCATTCACATTTCTGACAGCATCTGAGGAACCTTATGATCTTTGTGTGAGGTTAGAGTTGCTGGACACGTCTGTGTGTAGGACCAGGTAGCTGTGATGGTTGTTTTCACAGAAGGGAGAGTGAAAAGTTTGGAGTGTTTAGTGTTTTTTTTTCCTAATTAATTTTGTGGGACACTGTAAGTCTTCTCTGAAGATGTCCATGACTAAAACATATTTTATGTTAGACTAGAGAATTTATACAGAAGCTCCCGACCTATGAAGATGAATAATGTGACTGATAAAATACAAAGCAAAGATATCTGCAGGAGTATTTTTCAATTGAGCTGGTGAATTGAGAAAAAGTGGGGCGTTTGCTGAACTTTTTGTTGTTTGGTTGGGTTTTTGGTTTGTTTTAAAATGAGTATACATTTGTCCTGTGTTCGGTCTAAAACATTTCCCAAAAAGTCCAAAGTGGGCATTGTTTATTATATTGCTTATAATTTAAAACCTAAATATTCTTAAATTAGTGTTCCCTGTTCTCTTTCCATAGGAAGGTTGCTACTGATATAATTAAACATTGTTAAGGAAGATGTGTCGCTTTAATACACTTAATATTATGAATTTTCATTATATTAATATGAGCAATTTTCAGTGATAAGGAGATAAAATATATTGTGATTAATTCAGAACTGTATAGTTCTCAGCAATACTGATATCCTTGTTTGCTGAATAAATCTGAACTGACTGCAGAGAATAATTTGCATGTTTATCAGCCATTATTAATGGAGTTATTTATTGCAACAAAGCTTAAAGGCCATTTCATGTTTTTTTGGATCATGTCACTATTTTTTTAGGTTGACAGAATATGGCCTATTCTGTGGTAAAAATAAGTTCATCAGCTTCACCATGTCAACAAATGTACTATACACATGCTAGTCTGATAATAGAATATTTGAATATATTTATTAGATATGTGTGGGTCTGTGAAATGTATGAGAAATTGAGGGAAAGGATGCTCTCTCATATTTCAGAGAAAATAATTGTTTGTTTGACAACAAAATTCCATTCCACCAGACTGATTTTTCAAAGCCAAGTTTCATATGAAATACATTGTTTTAAAAAACCCTTGCTTATTCACATATTTATATTCAGATGCATACAGCTGTGGAGCAGCCCCCATAATGCCAAGAGTTGCCCATGGACAGAAAAAAGGCAGTGTTTTTTTGTAAAGAATTTGAAGTCTAATGCTTGGTTTTAAAATCAGTGCTCATGTTTATTATCTTTTTAAGTGTCCAGGGGGTTCGATTTTTTTTTGTCTTTATAAACTATAGGCATCTTTAAAAAGAAAAAAAATCTTTGCTGAGAATAGAGATTTGAAGAAGGAAATAAATTATTGCCTGATTCGAGGAGTGGGGGAAGGCGTCTTGCTCCCTTTCCCTCATGACTCACTGCTGGAATTTACAAGTCTTATGTGTTTGTCTAAATTAAAAGCTTAGTATTACCATACATTAATTACTAGTACAAGATAGCTCAAAATACTTAACCTCTTAAATGAATA